CATACGCTTTCGGAAAAACCCTGGAATAAGTCTGCTGGGGCTGGCTCCCGGCAAAAAACAAAGATTCACAGAAGTAAACCTAATGTTAATTAGAAAATTACAAGGGCAAATAAAATATTGTATCAGTTCATACATGCATGGGTTTATTATAAATAAAACATGTTTAAACATGTCTCTGTAGTTAGTGGTTGGCTGCAGACAAGCTCTCTCAGTAATCCATTTGTCTTAGATTTCATTAGAGTGTCTTCAAATAAAGGTTCCAGTTGAAACAGTGACTTCTGAAGCTCTGCTGGGCCAATAAAATTTAAGGCACGGTGGTGAGCTCAGAAGACAACAGTGACTGTTTTTTGGATTCCAAAGGGATCATCTTGATAGATTCTCTTGAAGGGCAGGATGATCAAAGGAGTTATTATGAAGATGTTTTAATAAAATTGAAAACCATATTGGTGAGGAAAAGGCCAGGAAAAGTTGTGCTGAGGAGTTCATTTTTTCATCATGACAATGCACCTGCTCATTCTTTGAGAGTAGCAAGGGCTGTTGAGAAACTTTACCCCATCCACCCTACAGTCCTACTCTTGCCTATCTAGACATTTTTTGTTACCCAAACTCAGCATTTAAAAGGAACATGATTTGAGTCCCTCAAGAATGCTAAAACTGCCATTTTGACGTGGAGTATATTGAAGAGTACAGAATTCTTTAGGGAAGTTAGAGAAATGGAAACGTTATCTTCAGTGTTTGGACCTAAATGGAGGATATGTTGAGAAACAAAAACTTTATATTTTGATATTTTTGTTCAATAAAGCATTCTATGATTTTGTTGCAATACTTTTTTACTTACTCTCATACTTTAGTAAACAAACCAAAGTAGAATTGTCTTCAAGAATATAAAGAATTCTCTTCAATAGATATAAGAATTTTCTGTTGTAAAGAGTCAGATAACATTGTTTTCCACTAAGACTGAACCAGGGGAACCAGGAACAAGGGGAAATTTTTAAAGCAAGAAAGACTACTTAACTGATAAGACTTATTTATTGAAAGAACATGCTCTAAATAAAGACTAAAGGTTTTTAGTGTCAGAAAATCCCTTTCAGTAGCGTCTGTCAAAGTTTCAAACTGCTTGAAACAGTTGTGCTTTAAGTCTTTTTCAAAAGTAAGCACTGGACTGCAAGGTCAGCTTGACCCGCAAGGTTGTAGGTTCAAACTCACCAGCTGCTACTCAGAAACATTAGTCAAGGTCCCTATGAGTCAGAACCTACTTGATCACACTTATAAATCTGGGATCTGCCACTGATTTAATGTCAGGGCTTCCAACCAATTCAAAACCTTTCAGTCATGGTTGATGGAAACAAGTGTACCCATTGTATAGTAACCAAATCTCTTGTATGTCTGATTTTAATCAGCATAGGCAATGGTTAACAACAACAATAACAATATTCTTTGATTCTGAACTTTCTTGGTGCCTTTAAATTAAAAAGTAACATAAAAAAAAATGGTTATAAATCCTATGATACATTCACAGCAACATCCTGGTGTGGAAGATAAGCACTGCACTGCTAACCACAAGGTCAGTGGTTTAAATCCACCAGCCACTCCTTAGAAACCCATACAGGGTCACGATGAGTCGAAACTGACTCAACAGCACTAAACAACAACAACATGGAAAATACCAGGCATAGAGATTGGTTGAACCAATTTAACCACATTCAAAGCCTCACTGTAGGCTGTCATCTTTGAGCAGGGCACCACTGCCTATCCTGGTTAAAATCAGACATGCAAGAGATTTGGTTACTATACAATGGGTACACTTGTTTCCATCGACCATGACTGAAAGGTTTTGAATTGGTTGGAAGCTGACATTAAATCAGTGGCAGATCCCAGATTTATAAGTCAGGGCTGTTCCTTACCTATAATTCATATTTCCCTTAGCAGACATGTAACTCATATTAAGTACTTAAGTCTGCAGGCCTATTTTAACATAATCACTCAAGAAATTCCATTTCCCCCTAACAGATAAGATTATCGTAAACTCTCTGGCCCAGTGCTGCAGAATCATTACACATATCAATGCTGTTTGTTTTCTTTTCATGGAAAATGCTAGACTAAGCATCTTTTAAGCCAAAATCTCATACAGTGAGGTGAAGGGGAAAGATGTAAAAGTTATCTGGTTTGGCTTCCCTCCCATATCTTGGTCAATTTTGTTGTGGGTTTACAATCTTGAAGAAAACTTCCAAATCTCTTCGTGAGTTAAATCTTTTCTTGTAGCTTCTGAGCTTAGTCACAGTGTGGGGACTTACTGACTACATTCCTAAATGGGGTATGTAGAGACTTAGTTTCACTCATATTTACTCTCAAATAATGTGCTTCTGCCAGAACCCTAATTTAGACCACCTTCATGGGAGGCAGTTCTCAGCCTTAAAAAAGCTCACCTCCGGATGCTCACTCATGACACCATCTCTTTACTATTTCCTCATTAGGTTCAAATTAATTCTACCTCAGAGTTGGTTGTTTTTCCTCTTGTCCACTGATCATTTGGGGAAAATATTGTGCTGTTAAGAATTATTTTCTGTATTGAAGACTACTTTTAACTGACTCAAAACAACTTCCACTATTTTAAGTTATAAACTAAGTAACTCGAGTTTGTTGTTGTTAAAGTGCTGTCGAGTCGATTCCGACCCATAGTGACTCTGTATAGGGTTTCCAAGGAGCAGCTTGGGAGCTTGAACCACCAACCTTGCAATTCAAATGACTTTGCAGTCGTTTGCACCAGGACTCCAACTCCAGTTTGGGAGGAGGGGCTTCACATGTCCCATGAGGTGTAGAGGTCCACTCCACCAAACATGGCCTTGTTACCACTAGGTATAAGAGCAGGT